GTGTCTGCTCTACGGTCTTTTGGGACCCTGAATTACACATCTCCCAGTTTATCCCAGTCTCTTCCTGACCTGCTTACTGAAGGGTTGACTGTGAGCCCCTAGGACTGGTGTTTCCCAACTGGGAACTTGTGGGGCGTTCCCCCCCACCCCTCACTGCCCAGGTTACTGGAGAAATCATCTCCACTTGTGTTGATGTGGCACATCCTTTGGTGTAAGGACAGTGTTAGATACTGATACAATTGCTGATCAGAAAGGGTCACCTGGAGGTTACTGTTGCAACGTGAGCTGCGATAAATCTGTCTTCATCTCTGCCCAAATCCATTTTTTTTGACCTTCCAGGGACCATGCTGGAGGAAACGAGAAGCTTGTAAAGATGGAGCCAGGGTTGCGCGTGTACGGGGGAGACAGCAGAGTCGGAGCCCTGACGCAGAAAGTGTCTCACCTGACATCGCTCAAGGTACAAGGTGTGAGCTGCAGGACTCGGGAAGGCGGCATCTCCCGTCTGTGTCACAGCTTTAGAGCTGGACTGGTGTGGTCCAACTTGAGGTAGTACTGTGGGCCCAGCTCTTTGAACATCTCCTGGATGTAGTTTAAGTACAGCTTTTCCAGCCCTGTGACCTGTAACCCCTCTGTCTCGTTTCGGCTGGTGACACTTGGTTGACGAGAGCGTTGGCTCAGACACCGGTGTTGCCTGGGCTGTGCCGGGTGTCCCTGTGCTCCTTGGCAGCTGCAGTAACCCAAGGAGGGCCGGGGCCGACGTGTGGAAGGACGGGGCTTGTGCTCTGCTGGTTGGCACCGAAGCAGGGCGAGTGCTCCTCCCTGAACAAAGGCTGCAGTGTGGGGTGAAGAGAACGTGGGCCGGCGGCGAGAGCTGCCTGCATTGCTTTTCCAGAGCTACGGCAGCAAACCCTGTTGGAACCTGGCTGCTTGTTTACAGGCGAGCTGGCAGGTGACATAAACTGCAATGAAATGTGCAGACGGGCATGAATGTCACTGCTGGTCCTGCGGTGCACCTCTGCGGGGGGGCAGGCAGCCGCAAAGGAAGGTGTGCAGCTCAGGGCTGGGGAGGAAACGTCCCCTCGGCCTCAGGAACATATTTAATCCTTCCCTTTTCCTGTCATCCACTTCTTCCCTTCAGCTTGGTGGGTTTTGTTGTTAGAGCTTTTTGCACTTGATTAACTTTGTTTAGGATTTTTGTGTTGCTCTGGATCTGTTTGCTCTTGCTGCCAACGAGCCGCTGAGTCACCCTGCATGCAAATGAAAGAATCTGGCAGTTCTCTTTGTTGCAACACCTGCTAGGAGGAAACAGCTCCCTTCCAAGTCCCTGCCATAAAACTGGACTCTCCCAGGAGCAGAGCTTATGTTTACTGGCCAGCTCTGTGAGAATTTGCCTGTAGGACTACTTAGACCTTTGTAATAGTTGCAATTCTTTTCTAACCCTACGAATGGTAGCAAACGGTAGCTTAAGCTCCAGTCTTCTGCCTTCTTCTCAGGTGGGATCTCTTAATGTGAAATGCCTCTGTACGCCGTGTCACACTTCTGGACACATCTGTTATTATGTGACTAAGCCAAATAGCTCCGAGCCACCTGCAGTTTTTACAGGTGAGGAGTTGGGAGGTAACATTGCCGGCAGTCTGTGTTGCAAAGGAATCGGCTTCCCCTCTGCCTGTGTGCTCCTGACTCTGGCTGTGCGTTCGTCCCTCGCTGCCAGCCCAGCTGGCGTTTTGCATCCAACTCTCGCCCCCTTACCGAGCGGTAATTGTCGATGAAAGTGGTGAAATCCCTCTGGGTTTGTAAAGCATTGCTGGACACGCTGCAAGCGACATCAAGAGCAAGCCTTGGATGAGTCCTACATCTGGCATTTTCTTCCCTGAAACGAAAGCTGTTGGTTTACAGTCTTGGGCCAAACCTGTCGACTCCAAAACCTGTTGCTTTTCTGTGCATCCATGCTCGTGTCTGTAACAAAACCGAGAGAAGAGAAAATAGGGGAGTAAGAGAGGGCTGGTGCTCCAGCTCTGGTGGCCGGGTTCTGGATCCCGTTTCAGAGAGGCAGGTTCTCCCTTCCCTGAGATTGCGCCCAGTCTCCCCAGGCTGCCACGTCGTCCCTCTCCGGACGGGCGTTCTCCAGACCTGCCGCGTGGAAGAAGGAATGGCTTAAGCAAGATTTTAGGGAGCGCTGGGGAGAAAATGCAGAGGTGACTCAGCTTTGTTCAACTTCCTAGCAAAGAGAACAAGTGCTCCTTGTCCGCTCTAGAAAGGACAAGAGGGGACAGCAGGCTGCCCGCAGGTGGGGAAGCGCTGGCCTGGTGTGACTGGCAAGGCCGTGGGGTTTCCCGTGTTAGAAGTCGTGTTTGCTGTGTGGGTTTACGCAGTGCTGAGCCCGCGTTGGGCAGCGGGGTAGCCTGGCTCTCCTCGTGCCTTCTGCTGAGCTGCGGCGAGGACAACAGGGGCAGGACGGAGCCCTCAGGGACTGTTGGTGCCAGGAGCCTTGTCCAGTCCTGACGTCGTGTTGTGCGTCCCTTGCAGGTGACACGCTCTTCGTGGCTGGCTGTGGAAAATTCTTTGAGGGAACCCCGGAGGAAATGTACAGAGCGCTGATTGAGATTTTGGGCAGCTTGGACCCTGAAACGGTACGTGCTAGTGAGTGAACCACCCAGAAACGAGCACAGACATCAAAGAAACTGTCTCCCTAGTAATACTGTTGTTCAAAGAGAGCTTCTCATGTGTTGGAGGAATGCTTACATCAGGGATTGTCTTTGATGCCGAGTAGCTGGAGTCCTCCGGGAAGGAAATACCCGCCCCAAATACGTCTGTGCTTTGTGGGGAAAGAGCAGGGGCTGCTTATGAAACCAAGGGCCGGTGAGCTGGGCTGCCTCGGCTCTTTCATCAGCCTTGGTGTTAAATTGGCCGATAGCGCTTGCTGGTAACTCCTGGCGCTTCTCCTGCTCACGTCTCTGGTGGAGAATGTCGTGTGTCCCAGAGGGCTGCTGTTGTTCCTGCCGTACCGTCACGCTGGTGATGGCACCCAGCACTCTGCCTTTCTTCCTCCAGTCACCCAGTGTCACTCTCCCTTCCTCTTCCTAGAGAGTTTACTGCGGTCACGAATACACGATCAACAATCTCAAGTTTGCTCGACACGTCGAACCCAATAATGTCTCTGTCCAGGAAAAGCTTGCTTGGGCCAAGGTAACCTGGTTCTTCCTTCCCCTCCACTCGATGCTTTTGCGGAGGCAGAGCCTCTCTGAGGAGGCAGAGGAGAGAAGACAATGGTGGGGAGGGAGGGAGGGAGTGAAGAGGCGGGAGCTGCGGTGTGTTGTGTGTCCGGGGAAGCACTGCGTTGGGGAACGGAGTTTGCCTGTGGCTCGTTGGACCCTTTGTGTTGTCTGGTGGAGATGTGACCCTCCTTGGAAACTTCTTGGTATAATTACAGGCCGATGGCCACATCTCTCAGCTCTGTGTGTGCTTGTCTGTCTGCCCTGGGAAGGGCCTGGCCTGAGCAGCAGCTCGAGCAGTTGGGTGCAGCACTAACCCCACACGGTCAATACCTGGGGCGTTTCTTGTTCATTGACACGTTCCTCGTTAGGCAAAAATCTCTCCCTTGTTGCAGGCGAAGTATGACAGCGGGGAGCCCACCATCCCCCCCCCCATCGCGGGAGAGTTCCATCCCCTCCACCATCGCGGAAGAGTTTACGTACAACCCCTTCATGCGAGTGAGGTACGGGGGCAGGTGTGGGTCGGGGAAGGGGCCTCGTGTTTGGCAGGGGGATGCAGGAGGGAGGAAGTCTCTAAAGAAAGAGCCGTGAGTGGGAATTGCTCTGCTGCCTTGCCTGGTTCCTGTTCGAAACCCCTTGAGACCCTCCTTAAAATGTCCTCGCTGGCCCGGCGGAAGCTCGCTGCAGTGGGATTTGAAGGGCTGCGGTGAGGGTATCTGCCAGTGCTGGAGTCCCTGTGTCAGGAGATGGAAAACGCTTCCTCGTGTAATTACGTTCCTTCGTCAAGCAGAGTTTGGCTGACGGGCGCGGCAGAAGATGCTGCGCGAGGCATAAGAGTGTTTGCAATTTCCTCCTGCCAGTGAGCGTTGAAACCGGGGGAGCTGATAAGCCTGTGCCAGAGCCCCGAGTCTTTGATCTCTAAGTGCAACGCTTCCCCTTGATGCAGGCGAAATGCGATAGCCGTGACTTCATAGATGAGATTTGATCTTGCAGTCTCTG